TAGAGGGAAATTTAAAGGTTTCATATTTTTAATAAATACTAGGCCTTATTATGAGTTATTAGAATGGTAACACACTTAATTTGAAGTTTTTCTATAAAAAGTTATAATTTTTAGAAGTTTTGACCCGATTTTGACCTAAGGTTGACCAAATTATTGACTTTTTGACTTTGACCAGATTTTGGGGATTTGATAATTTTAGAAAATACTAAATTTTAATTAGAGTAATTAGCCACTAAGTTTGGTTGATTTGAAATTTTTTACAATTAGTTATGAATTTTAGAATTTGGGCATTTATTGGATTTATTAATTGTTATAATTAAGGGTCCTTTTTAATGAATTGAACCCAAACAAGTCCTAAAGTCCTTGAAATCTTCTCGAAAGATCAGATATGATCCAAAGAGAGATAAGCAAGTGCTTAAGAAATTATTTGGATTTTTAATTATTTTTAATTAATTAAAATGGATTAAACATTAATTTTGATTAAAATTAAATTAAAGTGAATTTTAATGTCAAATTAAATGGATTTTAATTTTCACTGATTAAGAGTTGAATTATGGTTGATTAGAGGTATTATGGGTATTTTTTTCTATTAATCTAAAATTATGATGATTTATTGAATTTTCTAAGTCCTTTAAGGGGCTGAAATTTGACATGCTTAATGTTTTATCCTAAATGACCTCAAAATTCAGTAAAATTTGATCCTGAGGTACCTGATGTCATTAAGTTTACTATGTTCAAGTTTCACCCCTATTGGGTGTGTGTATAATCCCCTATGAATTTTCTAATTTTTTTAGATATTTTCTTAATTATTTTTCCTAGGTGTCCCTACTATTTAAATAGGCTTGAAATTTGATATGGTTAACCCTGACATACATGTGATCATACCACAGAAACATCATAGCAAAATACTAAAACTCTAAGGAGTTATGAATTTTTAAAGTTTTGGGTCCAAACTGGACCATTTGCTTTGAAAATTCAAAAAACAAAAAAAAAAAAAGAAAGCATCAAATCCTACAAAAATTACATAATATTCCTAAGATGCTCATAAATGTTCCACCAAAATTTGGGCTCCATTTGACCTCTGGATTGCAAGTAAATTGATAAAAATTAAAACTAAACAAATTCAATTTACTCATAATCCATTGCTCAAAACATGTTAAATTTAATTTTAATAAATACTACAACTAAATATCTTTCTAACGAGCCTAAAAATTGCCAATTTGGTGAAAAATTGATTTTTTTATGAATTTTGAGAAATTTGGGACATTTAAAACATTTTTATTCAATTATGGGTCAAATCAGCCGTTGGCCAATCATTGGCTGCGACAACGTGGCGGCGCATCATGATGCCATGTGTCAGGTCCTGAACGGACCACTTAACCATGTCGGATCAACAGATTCGACAACGTCGGATCAATAGATCCGACCGTTGGACCACAAAGAGGAGCGATCGACGGTTCTGGTTGAACTAGAGTTAAAAAATTTTAAATGCCAATATCTTTCAAAATATTAGACAAAATTATACGAAATTTGAACTATAGCTAGAGAGAAACGTGATCTAACATTGCCTGGAGTTTGGAGGCTCTATGGATTGTTTATTTGCTATAGTTTCAAATTTAATTTTAAACTAAAAATGAAGATATCGTATAATCTCTCCAGTGGAATTTCACCATCTTGGGCTTATTAGAAAGCTATAGTGATCCTCTACAACTTTGATGAAGACACCAAGAGCTGGATCTAGCTGGATTAAGAGTTACAATGAAAAATCTTCTTTCTCTCTCTAGAATGCTCTCTCCTCACTAAACTAGTGATTTGAGGCTTGAAAATGGTGGAAAAAGGCTTGAGAAGGCCTTGGGGAGTGCTGAAAAGTGTGGGAGGAGCTCTTTGAAGGTTGGAGGCTGCTGGAGTTTTGGAACTTAGGTGAAAATGAGCATGCTATGGGATTAGGGCAAGTTATCCCATCTTAAGCCCTTTCTTTTGATTTGGATGGCTAGGATTTAATTAAGAAGGGCTTAGATGGGTGACATGTGTCCCATAAGTAGCTGAAAACTAGGGGAAAGGGCTGTGTTGAGAGTGAACTCTCTTGGTCAATGGGAAAGGGGACCACACCTTTTCCTCTATTTAGCTAAACCCAAGCCAAACCTCGTTTAAGGGGATGCTTTAAGCTCTATTAGGGGAGAAAATGGGTCACATCACAACATGTTTGAATAGGTTTTGGAATGAGGATTGGATTGCTAAGGTGGCATGGCCATCTTAGCTCAAATGAGAGCTTTTTTGACCATTTGACTGGTCAAACCAGTCAATGGGAATGAGGTGGCATCCAAGGGAGTGCATTTGGGTGGTAGCATGTATGGCCAAGAGTTTGAGGTCAAGGATTTGAAGTTTTAAGATGGAGAGGGTTTTGAACTCTCCAAATGAGTTGACCAAGTCAACCCAAGATGAGGATTGACTTGAAAGTCTTTGGACAAGTGAAGGGTGTCCAATTAAGTAATTTTGAAGGGTTGATTTGATTCAAATGGGTTGAATGATTGAATTTGACAAGTGTGTAAGTTAAGGGTTGATTTGGTCAACCATGGTTGACTTGGTCAACGTGGTCAAACCATGAGTCAAGTTTGGGTCAAATAAGTTCAGTGAGTGTTTTGAGATCAATGGAAGTGCTCTCTTGCATTGGGTAGTCCATTTGGGTTAAAAATGGATGTTTAAATCCATTAAGGGCATTTTGGTCAACCATGATTGACTTGGTCAACTAGGTCAAACCAAAGAGTAATTTTGGGTTCAATGTGTTCCTAAAGTCATTTAGGATCCATTGGAATGAAATTTGGAGTTTAATATGGGTTGTACATGTTGAAACTTGGGGAAAAGACCAAAAATATCCTTAGAGGGTATTTTGGTCATTCTGACCCCTAGTCAAACCTGGGTAAAATTGGGTCTAAGAAAGTGTTGATTGCTGGTCAATATGTCATGGGGGAGGCCATGGACATGTTCAAGTGGTTTGGGGTAGGTCCCAAGGTCAAATTCCACTATGTAATAAGTCTAGTGGCATAGGTCATAAATATCTGAATGTTTTACAACCATTGGAATTAAGTTTAGTTTTTGGGCTTAGAAACATCAAATTGAGCTCAAACTTGGAGGGTTGACCCCAGAGATATGTCTTATCAACTTGTAATTGATAGACTCTGAATCGAGGGTCAGTTAATTGGGTTTTGAAGTATTTGAAGAAGCACTAGATAAGGCTTTCAAGACCTAAGCCCTTGGCCTTGGATTTTGTTCTAGGTGTCCTAAGATCTAGATTGATCATAGTGTCTGGAAACTAAAAGGATCCTATGATCTAGGAAGTCCAGGGCTCTAGAGTTTAGAAAAAGGTTAAAGTGACCTCATCCAAAAATGAGGTCAACAATGTGTAGGCCATTGAAGTGGGGAGGTCATGATTTACATTCCTATTCATCCAAAGTTGGGCCTTTGAGGGCTAAACTTGTTTGGAAATATGTACAAGATAAAGTCTCAATGCTGCATAAGGTTCTTTTTCTGAAATATGGTTCTGAGTGGTGATGGAACTTTGAAGAAGGCTAGCTCAATTGCTTGGAAATTAATTACCGATGGTGGAAATTCTCTCAAGTCAATAGTTAGATGGAGCATTGCTAATGGTGAGTCTATTGATGTCCTTAAGGACACTTGGGTTATGGATAAAAGTATAAATAGGCGGCCTACATTTGTGTTTTTACTATAAAATAATGAAGTGATGGTGGATCAGTTCATTACAGATGGCTGGTGGAATATAGGTGAACTCAGCAAATTCTTCAGAAAGGAACTGGTAGACCTGATATGTCAAATATAGATTTTACAAGGTTTAGGTGAAGATATGATGGAGCTTATCTTTCAAAAATATGGAAAGTCTATTTCTGCATTGGCATTTGAAGCATCGATTCATGATAATTCTGGTTATCAAATATGGGAATGGATTGAAAAGGCTAAGCTTATTCCACTGGTGGAGGATTTTCAACAATGCTATTCCTACATATCAATTCTTACCATATAGAAGATTGCTAGGGAGAAATTGTTGTTTAAGAAGCTGTAATGAGATTGAAGACATTGAACATGTTGCAACCAAATGTAAGAAGCTGAAGGAAGTATTTAAACATTTAAATAGATGGGGCTTTGGTATTCCATCCTTTGAATCTTTTGAAGATTGTTGTAAGTGGATGGCTTTATAGAATATTTTGTTAGTTAAGTTGTATTGCAATGCTGTTTATTTTTCATTCAAGGATAAGAACAAGCTGATTCACGAAGGCAAAGAGGAAAGCTCAATGGTGATTGCTGCTAATACCGTGAGCTATGCTGCAGTTTCTGCATCTAAGGATAGTTTTAACTTGGGCCACTAGGGTGTTAATCAGCCAATTAGGCTGTTGGATAATCATTGGCACGCTCCTCCACCCGATTGGATCAAAGTTAATGTTGATGCATCGTTATTACTGTCGTATAAAGCTGGAATTGGTGGTTTTTCAGAGACTACAAAGGTAGATTTCTTCTAGTGTTTGGACATGCATGTGTACATTGGGATGTTTCTTGATTGGAACTTTTAGCCATTCACTCTCAAGGATGTTATAAAAGATTGGATGTTCAATTATAAGGGTCTAATCATTGAAGGGGATAATGCTAACATCATTAAGTTTTATCAAGATACAATTAGGAGAGGTGGTCAGGGAATAGAAGATCTTATTTTTGTCATGGATTTCAAATATGCGATTTTCAATTGTATAGATATGAATTATAATAATTTAATAGATTTATGTGCCAACTATGTTTTTTTTTTCTTTGGGAAGGTATTAGTATAAATAAAGTTTCACCTTATTTTATTAATTTGTTAAAAGAGGAATCAAATGTTAATAGCTTGTAGTTTATATATATATTTTTTTAGTGGTTAATGCAATTTGATTGTATCTTAAAAAAAAAGGACAAAATAAGAAATCATATTCATTGGAGTCCGATGTTGGAGTCCGGACTAAGCGCAGAATAATTTCTGGTAGGCCCGAGGGACTTCTTTCGTGTTCAAAAGCGTTTCCCTTTTTACCTAGCATCCTCCATGTCGATAAAGCATTGCCGACGGGGAAAGTGGTGATAGTAGGGATAAATACAAAGGAAAGCGGTGATCGGAGATGTGGGCGGCTTCTTGTCTTGCTTCGTGCTGCGCGAGCTGCACCTGCGGCCTTTGCACTTCGGCCGCGGCAGGGATCTCTCGCCGTTCGGCTAGGCTCGCCTACTGCGGTCTATTCGCTCTCTCCCTCGTACTCTCCTGGATCCTTCGAGAGGTGGCTGCCCCTCTGCTCGAGAAAATTCCATGTGAGCCTTTCTTGTCTTTCTCTATCTCTTCTCATACCCACAACTTCATGTCCACTTGGTCGTTCGGGAATTGAATGAGTTTTCCATGTCTATTTTAGTTCCTTTAGCTGAGCCTGAAGTTCTTTGATTTGATGTCTGGGTGATTTTACTTGATTTATCTTCTCCTACCCTCTCCTATGTTAGTTTGTTTTTGCAGTTTGGGGGTCGAACAAATCTTCCATCTCGTCTATCTTTGGGTTCTGTTCACGGATTTGCCTGTTTAATCAATTCTTGTATGATTTTTAGTTAAAGTTCCTTTGGCCTTAATCTTGATTATAGCCCCTCCTAATCCCGACAAGGTTTCTTTTAACACGATCAAATGTGAACCTACAGCAAGCTAAGGATCCCAATCTGATACTTCATCCTGTTGATTATGCTTACCCTATTGGAGTTTTTGTTCAGGTGCATTTTGCAAACCATCACGCACTATTTTAGCCAGATCATAAGTAGTGCAATTAATTATTTAATTTTACTAGCGTAACAGTCGTGGGGAAGCAAAATGGATGCTTGGACTGCATGCTCTGCCCGTGTTTATGATCTTTCTATGGACGAGTGTTAGCATTTTGAATTTTGAGTACCTTGATTGACTGGATTGGCTCTTTGTTTCATAGTCTGTTTATTCTTAATGAATTTTTAGACTTAGGACGTCACTTATCTGTTCTTTGTCCTAATAATGCCTGCAACTCTGATACAATCTACCTGCCTATATATATTCTTGATGATTCAGCGATAGTAGTCCCTAATCTGGTTATACTATACTATCATTATCCTACTCGTGGCAAAAAAAAAAAAAAAATCCTACTTGTGGCATGCATAATGAATTATAGGAGTATTTGAGCGTTGTTGTTACTGTTGAAATTGAAACTTTGTTGCCTTCTTGATTTTGTAGTTTGGTTTAGTGCCTTCTGCTTCACATTATGTCAAAACAGAAAACCTGCCTACTATCTGGCTAGACAAGTATGCGATTGTATTAAAGTGATTTTCATGGACTCAGAGTTTGCTAGGTTACCATTTGTTTGCGTTGCACTTGTTTTTAGTCACAAATGAAAACTATTTGTTTACCATCAGTACATTTTCTCCTTCCAAACAGCAAAATGGGCAAAATGGAAACGTTGGTCCCTGCCACATTAGTATTGCTAAAAATCACTATATACTTTTTATGCCTGTATATGCATAAATAATATGCTGAAATAGTGGATGGTTTTTACAGATATGTCAGGTGGTTTTATAAAAATCCACTCCTCTAGAGTGTTTTCTGCTTCTCAAGGTTTTCTTAATAACTTTTTTATTAAGGTCTTTCATGAATTTTAACTTCATGTTTCAAGGGAAGGGAAATTTGCATTTTACTTTCTGCTATAGGTGGGTGGTTCATAATACTTACAGGAACTGGTGATATGAAATATTTTCTCACATCAAACTTTAATCATCACTGGGTAAATATGTGCAAAAACAATTTAATATTCTCTTGGGGAATAGTCAGATCTTATTCCTCAAGTTCATCTTCTCACGAGGCTTAAATTTCATGTTTATCTATCTTTTCTAAATTGGTAACATTGTATGATTCCATATTTTTGCTTGAGCATTCAATCAGACAGTGAAGCAGAAATAGGAACACAGAAAAATCAAACATGTGCATATCTTTCAGTTTATGTCCTGGGCATCCATTGACCTTGAGTCTTTTTGATATTGAATGATGGATACAAATCTTTTATCTAATTTAGGGGATGGAAAAAGTGTTTCGCTCATATGATTGCAAATATAGTGAAATCTGATACTTTAATTGGAATTGTGTTGGATTGAATTGTTAACCTCCCAATTGATGTTTGGCTTGTTTCAATGGACAATAGTATTAGCATTGCTTAAGTTCCCATGGCGAAGCAGTAATTTTGAAAAAATGAAGTTTTAATTCTAGTTCTTCACCTAAACTTTTTAAATTTTTTTTAATTTTTAAAATTTAAAATTTAAATTTTTTTAATTTTTTTGTGTTCTTCACCTAAACCAAGTGTTATATCCTTACCCGCATTTTTACACTTTGTGCTTTGCACCCAACAACTCGTCTCCCAACAGTGATGAACAAACTGGCGAGTTTGAGAAAATAGTTATTTGAAATTTATTTTTACAAAATAACTTATAAGAAAAAAATTAATTTCCAAAATACTCCTATTTTTAACACCATTAGGTCAAACACTTATTACTTTAGATGGTGGGATCATTTAGGTCCCTATTTAAAAAGTAAAGGGACTAAAATTTAATTTTTAAATAGTCGGAGATTATTTTAGTTCTTCATAAAGAGTTGGGGGATTATTTTTGTCCTTATCACATTTTTTAGTATAGAGTCGATCATTATTATTAGGTGCTTTTGGATTCGTATTTAATTATATAAAGAAGATTTTCTTATAGTCAAGTTAAATCAACATTTCAAAAATATTGCATACTTTTGGAGGAAACCAAATTTTTATTTGAGTGGCAATGCATATGTACATATACCATTGCTAAAGGTATAAAGCTTAAATTTAGATGTGGGACAATCTCAGAAGGACTTTCATGTGTCAGAAAGTGTTGTTGAGATTGATGTTGTAAATAAGAAATTCAATATTTGATGAATCTTGATATTGATGTCATACTATTAGCCAATGGTCTAATCCTATTCTCTTAATGCTATGACCCATTTACACAATTTAGAATCTAGAAGAGATATCAAGGAGTATTGGTTTTTTTTCCTAGCTCATGTTTTAGGGATTAAATTAGATATATCTTGTTTGTCTCCTATTTATTGTAGACGACATTTTATTTGACTTTTAAGAGCATGACAACATCAACAACAACAACAACAACATCAAGCCTTTATCCCATTGGAGCTAGGAAAAAAAATCAATACTTTTAAAAGGACACAATGGAGAAAATGGATTCAAGTAATCGTCCCCACGTAGTGGGACAAAGGCTTGATGTTGTTGTTGTTGTCTCTTTCTTATTGTAAATAAGAGAATTGCTCCCTGTTTTGCTGTAGACAACAAATATGAACTTCTCCATGTGCCAAACAACTCCTTTGATGTTTTCCTTTTCTGATTTACTATATACAACCGCTGAAGTATTCTTAGTGTGGATGGCTAGAAAGAGGGTGCAACAAGCAAACAGTAACTCCTAGGGCTGACAGTCAGAGAAAAAAAAGGAGAGAATTTTTTGATTTCTAATGTAGGAATTAAGCTTATTTATAAGTTTCTATAATAGGTAATTAACTTAAATGATATTTATCTTTTCTAAACTAACTAGATCAATTAGGGAATCTTTTCTTCCAAGTGTCTCTATAAAATAAGGAAGTTCAAATTATAATCTTATTCAAAACTAGTTTAAAATTCAAAATTTAACCTAATTATACTCTTTTCTCAATAGCTTTCCAATTGCTTAGATTTTTAGCCTCCCTTTCTTAATCATCAGGCCTCCGATTGCGTCTTTACAATACCCGCACATTTCTTATGATTAGATTTTCATTGTTAATAGAGTGATTAAAAAATTGACATTATTGGCAATCCTCATTAATAGATTGGGGTAATTGAAATTTTAATTAACACATTCCCTTGCATATTTCCTTTATATGATGTCCAAATTGTAATGATAGATGATTTTCTAATTTACCTAATATGATGCATAGTATGCTCTCATGCAAAGAAAAAATTAAGGATTCACATATCACTATTAACCAATTAATTTAACTCACTTTTTAAAATGAAAACAAACACAACTATAATTTAAGACCAATTAATATTGGAATGATAAAAATTGTTCGAGTATTCCAATTTAAAATTGGAAACAAATAAAATTTATGAGCAAATCGGATTAATTTTTACAAATTAGATTTCCAATGTGCGCTTTTTTTGTCTAAATCAAGAGATTTGAGTAAGTCAATAACTCGCTATGTAGTGATTTAGAACAAGATATGAAAATTCCCAAGTAAAAAAAAACTTAGCCTCATGTTGGAATGAGGAAAACACTTATTCCAAAATTAGCTAATTTCATTTATATTGCACTCAAAGAAATCACACATCGAACTAGCACTCATAAGATTAAAACTAAAATGAAAAAAATATCTTCATGTCAAAATCTTTTATTTGAATGTCTCATATCAACTATTTATAGTCTCCTCATAATTTAGGCTAATGAATAATATTGACAAAGGATAGATCCCAATTAAAGTTTAGTTTAATTTTAAATTTACAGATCATCAACACGTTCTTTTGCCAAACTGCCAATGCCAATGTTTGTAAACATTATCTTCAACATCAGTTAAATCCATAGGTCACATCACCACCTCTATGGCTCTATTAAATAACAAGAAATAAAGCAGTCAACCCCCCATTTAATTAGGTAATAAGAAATAAAGCAGCCATCATCCCTTCAATTTAATGAATAAATCCAATATTTCACCATCAACAAGCCACCATTTGAGAGATAAAGTCAAATTCAACCACTAAAGTAGAAATAACCAAAAGCTTATACTTCCAACCTCCATTGCCTAAATCATCCAAAATCCACCACCCAACCTTACCACTTGACCTAGGGCTAGTGGTGGGAGAGAGTTGGAGCGAGAAAACAAACTTGGGTTGGAATTGATTAATTTATATTGCAGGAATCAAATTTATTTGCAGATAATAATACCAGATTATTAATTCAAATTATCCATATAGTTTTTTCTCAATTTACTCCATAAATGAAGTGACTTTATCCTTCATAAAATAAGAAAAATATGAAGTTATATAAAATAAGCTTAAAATTCAAAGTTCATTATAATTTGCCAATCTTTGAATCTTCATATGTTGGTTTATATTTTCTATCTCCTGATCTTGATCACTTAGCCTTTGACTAAAGGTCTATTTTCATGATGATTGGATCTTCAACTAAACGATGTGATCTAAAATCCAGCATTATCGATATGTTCCATCAAGATATTAGATCATTAAAATTTC